CCTCCTGCTTCATGTTATTTTTACTCATGTCCTCTTGCTTCATGTATTTTTACTCATGCCCTCCTGCTTCATGTAACTTTTACTCATGTCCTCTTGCTTCATGTAACTCTTACTCATGTCCTCTTGATGCATACATTTTTTACTGTTACGTTCCGTGCGTGATAATCAATACTCAACTCGGCATCTTTTTGATGTCTCCAAATTTATTACTCAACACGTCCGTAGCTGCACACGTGCAGGTAAAACTGTAAATACAAAATAATGCACACTAAATATTACGTCGTTCATGTCATGTAATGTTCACTATATCCAACGTTATATAACAAAGATCCAAATTATAAGAAATTAGGCGAGAACCAAGAGACAACACTTACAATGTATGGTGCATCGTGGAAGAAATGCGCGAGCGCACGCGAACGTATAAATACGGCTCAAGCAGCAAAAAGGGCCGGCGCCACGCACAACAGACGCATTTATACCGCGACAAGGAAACCCGCGAGTCACATGACTAAAACATAATGTAAACGAGCCGAACCGCAGCCTAGCTGAACTGCTTAAATACCGCGCAAAACAAGAACTGAACAGTGCTAGAAATACTACAGTATATGACACGCTTAACAGAAATGATGAGAAGAAATAACACTCCCCACCTTGAACTACGTTCAACAAAGTAAACTTAGGAAGAGCCCTCTAGTAGCACGATCTTTGAGATCGGGCGGACGATACGCGTCGCCTTGGTTCTCACTTTGGCTGATCTGACGAGACCGTCTCTGCCCTTATTCCAGGGCTCGAATTAAGCGACGAGAAGGGCAAGGCAATTATTTTAGGGCAATTATTTATGTGAGAAATCGCCTTGAATTTTCTCTAAAATAGAAAGGCACCAAGGCAACTCTCAAAGTTTGAGAAGGGCACCAAGGCACTTTTGTAAAATAAAGGGAAACTCATAACAAATTAGTACATCAACATCGTCTTGCTTTTAATGTACAAAACAATATGCCCCCATGTAAGCTTACACCGTAACACTGACTCCTGTACCCACCTCTGCTAATGGAAGTACAGTAACAAGAAATTTTACATGCCCGCTATCAGGAGCAAATAATTATCCGATGCTGTTATTATTCCCTCCTGCGACTATCGGTTTTTAGCTCATCATTGCAACTACAGCACGCTCGCGCACGTGTTATGTTGATTCGACTAAAAACAAAACTAGGGCAGTAGATTAAAGGGCACCGACGGCAATTACACAAAAGGGCAAGGCAGGTGACTGCCGTCGGTCGGGTTGGATTTTCAGGGGCAGTACGGCGATTGATAGGGGCACCGACGGCAATTGCCGTCGGTGCCGTCGGTTAATTCGAGCCCTGCCTTATTCTATTCTATCACGAGGCCAAATGGCCATAGTCCTCTTGGGGTGTTTTCGTTCACCACCAGCACTAAATCACCTATCTTGATGTTCCTGCTTTGCACAATCCACTTGCTTCTACGCTGCAGCTCTCGCAGGTATTCTTTCACCCACTTATGCCAGAACTGATCCGCGAGATGCTGTACTTGACACCAACGCCTAGGATACATGCTGCTGGATCTGAACCTGCCGGGGGGTAACGTAGCGCCATCTCGTAGCAATAAAAGATGGTTAGGCGTAAGCGCTCTTGAATCACTTACATCATCGCTGCTCTTGGTGATAGGCGGACTGTTGATAATGTTTTCTACTTCACAGAATAGCGTCTCCAGCACTCTGTCCATCAGTCTGTGATTCCCGCGCAGCAAGGCATTGAGCACCTTCCTGATGGAACGAATCATACGTTCCCAAATGCCACCCATATGCGATGCATGTGGAGGATTAAAAACCCACACGATATCCTTTCTCGCACAGTGCGAGTAAATCATGTCCTTATTTAGTTGGCTTATGCTTCTTGAAAGCTCAGCTTGACCGCCAGTAAAGTTCGTCCCGTTGTCAGACCAAACCTTTTCAGGCTGACCTCTTCTCGACATGAACCTAAATCCGTTAAGGAATGCGTCAGTTTCCAAGCTGTTTAACTTCTCTATGTGCACGGCACGTGTGGTGAGGCATGTGAACACACATCCATATCTCTTTACCTCTGATCTGCCCAGCTTCACGTAGAAAGGTGCAAAACAATCTAATCCTACGTAAGTAAACGGTGGCTTGCTATGTTCTAGCCTCTCAGGAGGTAAATCAGCCATCTTCTGCTGACAAGGCGATGCATAAAGCCTTCGGCAGGTCAAACACGTCCTGGACACTTTCTTGATGACTGATCTTGCCTTTGTGATCCAAAACTTAGCTCTCACATTCTCCAGTACCCACTCTGTATCTAGGTGAGCTATATCATGTATATCCCTCACGATAAGCATTGCTAATTGGTGATCGTGAGGAATTATACATGGGTGCTTACATTCTATATCTATGCCTGCATGTTTGAGCCTCCCACCTACACGAAGCAGCCCGTCCGAACCCAGCACAGGCGTTAGCTTCCTCAGCGAACTCGACCTGTTTAGCGTATCATCTCTCGTGATTTGAGTTAATTCCTTCTCGTAGCGTTGCATCTGCACGTGCTTCACTATAATTCGCTCTGCTGAACCCATTTCATCAACGCAATGCGATCTCTGAATTTAGCTTGACCTTTGCTCTTTAGCTTATTTTCTATCCTGATCCACCAACACAGAGCCCTCTTAAGCCTAGATACCAGCTAGAGTAATGATGCATGAGCCTATCTACCGGGCTTTCCCTCATACTCGGGGTAGCCGCGAGGTTTTTCCTTTTCTCACAGACTCTTGAGGCAGATGACTGGCTTCTTTAGTTTTTTGCTTCATGCTTCACCTCTGGATCATGTGATGATACTTCACCGTCTATCCGTTGCATATTCCACTCAGCTTTATACGTTTTTAACATGCTAACGCCTTCAAACCACTTTCCGGTGTCCAGTCGCCCAGCTGCTTCTCCTCTTGTTATTACATCAGCCGGATTATCTTCACTCGCAATATAATACCATTGATCAGGTTCTGTCAGCTGTCGGATTGTACTGATCCTGTTGCCTACGAATACTTGGAACCTCCGTGCTTCATTCTTAATGTATTTCAAAACCAGTTCACTGTCAGTCCAAAAATATATGACTTGGTTATGCAGAGCTCCAACTCACGCCTCAATAGACAGTCCACCTTCGCTGATAACACTGCAGCTTGCAGCTCCAAGCGTGGGATCGTAAGTTGTTTTATCAGCGCTACCCTACCTTTGCTCATTACTAAGGCGGTGTGTATTCTGCCTTGCTTACTTATACATCTCATATAAGTACAACATCCGTACGCTTTCTCACTGGCGTCACTGAAGTGATGTAGTTCACATACTGCGTCAGGTGATTCGGTTGGTTTGATACATCTTGCTACGCTTATAAGCCTCAGGTCTAGTAGTGTTCCCAGCCATATTTCCCATTTTCTACCGTGATCTATGGGCACTTCATCATCCCACGATAGCTTCAGTCTCGTGGCTTTCTGGAAGAGGATTTTCCCTGTTATCACCATAAGACTAATCAGGCCCAGAGGGTCAAACACTGACGAAATCAGGCTTAACATGCGGCGTCTCGTCACCACGCCACCTTGTTTTTCCTTCACTTCAAAAACAAACTCATCGGTCTCAATGTTCCACTTAATCCCTAACGCTTTACTCTCTGCACTAGGGCACAAGTCCTTTACTTCATTTGCTCGATCACTCACCGGTATGCTCGCGAGAAGGTCTCGACTGTTCACCACGAACTTCGTTAATCTAAATTCGCCCTTCTGTAGCAGGTCTCGTGTTTCTCTTATAATTATTTGGGCTTCAGCTTTCGTTTCAACTGACTTGAGGCAGTCGTCGACGTAGAACGATCTAGTTACTGTGTCACTTATCGCAGGGTCGACATCTCCATGGTCCTTTACCGTGCGTCGCAAAGCGTATGTCGAACTGCTGGCGCACCATACTTCCACAAATACGTGTGAGGTCATGCTATAATGGACCACGTCTCTCGCACCATCACGCCAAAAGAACCGTAGGGCATCTCTATCATATGATGGGATCTTGACTTGATGATACATAGCTTCTATGTCGGCCATGATTGCATACGCGTGCTGTCGAAATCTAAGAATGATATATATAGTAATTTGTTGTTTAGATCAGGTCCTTGTAAACATTTATCATTTAACGACTTCCCGTCATACTTGGCTGCACAGTCGAATACTACCCTGAGTTTGCCAGGTTTTTTATCTGTGATGACACCGTGATGTGGAAGGTACCATATCTTCTTACCCGGGTGGGAGACGTCACGTTGAGGAACCTTCTCGGCATAGCCCGCTGCAAGCAGTTTGCTTAACTCGGTGTCATACCTCTCCATTA